ACTTTTTATTAGCTCACCTGAGCTAAAGGCTCAAGTGAGCTTTTCTGATCACATTTTGTCCGTTGTCCGTCTGTCTGTCCTTTCGTCCGTCTGTAAACTTTTCACATTTTCGACCTCTTCTCAAGAACCACTTGGCAAATTTTGACCAAACTAGGCAAATAGTATTCTTAGGTGAAGGGGAATTTAAATTGTAAAAATGAAGGCCAAGTCCCCTCATCAGGGGGAGATAATTAAGAAAAGACAAAAATAGGCTGGGGTCATTAAAAAATCTTTTTTCTCAAGAACAACTGGGCCAGAAAAGTTGAAACTTATGTAGAAGCATCCTTGGGTTGTTTAGATTCTAAATTCTTCAAATCATGACCCCCAGGGGTAGGGCGAGGCCACAATGGGGAATCAAAGTTTTACATAGAAATATATATAGGAAAAATCTTTTTGCATTTTTTTCTTTTGATTCAAATCAATGATCATTCAGAAATATGATTATTATTTTTTTTTACTGTGGTTTTGAAATGTCTTGATCTCCTTATGTGTTCTCATATGCTTTACAATCGGAGATGTGCTTTATCGATACCCAAACCAAAAAATCATCCAACTGTAACGAGCGCATTGGGGTATACATCGTTACAATGAGACAAGGTATCTGAAAGAAATATGGCGGAATACGTTATCGTTGGTATGAAACAAGTTGTACATAGATGAAAATCTTGCGTTTTTAAGAAATCACGTCAGCTTTAAGTATTATGAATTAGGTTTACTTCGTAAAAGTGAGAGATACGTGTCCATGAAGCGTTGTACACTACTGTAACTAAAAAGCACTGAGAATCCAACAAAACCCTGAGGAAATACTGAGTGGTACTGAGAAAACCCTGAGTTGTACTGAGGCTACTACTGAGAAACTGAGGAAGTACTGAGTTGCACTGAGGTTTTTACTGTGCATTCTGTTGTGCTACTGAGGAGCACTGAGGTTAGCACTGTTGCTGCTGTGGAAGTACTGAGGGGCACTGAGGTTTGTCTGAGGGAACTGAGCTGATACTGTATGATACTGAGGTTTTAACTGAGGCTACTGTGGACATACTGAGAGGCACTGAGGTGTTCAGAACTCAATAATATGACAATAAAATAAGATAAAGTGTGGACAGACAAATAATTGTTTTTGAACCATATCTTCCTTATAGTATAACTATTTCTTTAATCTTTGATTTACAGAACCTCCAATAATATTCCATGACTTACAGAAGTATATAATTTTAGTGCATATCTTTCATTCTATTTTCATATTCTCAAGTCTAATATTCAAGGAACGTTTGCATGCATTTGTCAAGTTTGCAATTATTGTCTGTAACAATAAATATTGCTACACTGGGTAATATTTTATTATAGAAAATAGAATTGTTAAAATATATATTACACATATGTTTTCGTAAAGACTAATCTCGCATGAATTGAAAATACTTGAAATGCTCATCTAATTGATATGGTGTGTGTTGACCTTATTTGAATCTCATTTCATTTTATGAGTGAAAATTATATTTTGCAGTAAAGTGCGGGAGTATTCAAAACTCCTTGAATCTCCAAATGTCTCCTATTTTTACTGGTAATTTCATTTTCTGGGGGAAAAAAGAGTTTCTCTAGTCTTCTTTTTAAGCTAAACTGGTACAAAACAATTATCTAATACCCGGGGGTATTTTGCTATGATAACTAATTTTAACTGCGTTGTATTTGTTTTCTTTAAATGATCAAAGTTGCACAGTTATGATTACCACATATGCTTATGATATAGGGTAAAGAGGACAACAGGTATTCCAGATATCAAAAGATTTGACTTTAATTTATCATGAACTTTAGGTTAATTTGTCAGCTAGTTTAAATCTGTGTATTCTGCAAAGCAAAGTTAAATTAAATTGACACTTTCAATATTCTATTTTCGACAAAATTGTATTACATGTATGAAATTAAATAGAAATAGATAAAGAGAAGCTTATTTCATAGAAACATAAATTAAAATCATCGCAAATTAATCAGGTAAGTTTCAATCAATGCGATGCCCTTGTAGTCACGGGCACCTGTCCGCACGTGTCACAAGTTGGGGCACGTGTCGCGAAGACACCTGCTTCTGTGTTAGTGTATTTTTTGTATATTCTATGTGATTTGGGAGGGTTTTCAGCCCAGGGGTAACATTTGGCTGTGTTGAACGGTGTATACACACCACTGGCGTAACATCCTTACAAAGATATTGCTGGTTTTCATTAATAAAGGCTGATTAAAACATTTAATAAAATTAATCTAGACGTCTAAGACACAAAATATTGATAAAACTATTAATATATAATTAATGGGGGAATTTTATTTTATTTCTTTTTTTTTTGCGGGAAATACTAATTTAACAGGAAAGATCTTTACACTTGAAAAATTAAAACAGTTTTATCTGAATCTAAAAAAAATTATTTCTATTCTTTTTTTTTGGAATTATATAAAAAAAAACTTTACACTATTGAAAATTCAAGTTCATTGAAAGGCTGTTTGTCCCATCGCTACCTTTTTATTACCTTCAAATCAGGGAAATCTGTTAAATAAATATGTATGGATAAAATTCGGTTTTGAAAAGTGTAATCAAATGAAACGTATCCTCCCATCAACCTCAAAAATAGAATTTTCTTTGAGTTTGGACCATTTCCCACGCCTTCTTTTTTGTCGTTCTCTTTCTTCACTCAGGAAAGTTGATTTTTTTAAATTTAATTTTCTAGTCCCTCCCCAGCTTACAAAAATGAAACCAAGTGCCCGGGAAAAGATTCTTGAACATTTAGTTATTTTTACGTATAAAATACTTAGTAATCGTGTGGATTATTTCGATTTTTCCATAAATTTTATATATCAAGATATTTAAATTAGCATATAGTGCATGTATTTTGCGATCTATAATCTATAATGGGCTATCGTGTGAATAATATTTTTTTGTTTATATTGTCCCCAAAATCAATCCCATTTTATATAAATGGTTATAGTCAGAAAACTATATACCCCACTATCTTTACATAAGAATCAGTAATCTGTAACTTATTTAATTTTCAAGAAAGAAACCTTTCCTTTTCCTGAATGAATGATGAGTTATAAACATGAAACTCAAATAAAGCCACGAAAAAAAAAATTTGTATTTGTTGATTTTTTTTAAAAAAATTTCTTTTTTTCTCTTTCTTTCCCCTTCTTTTATTTTCCTCGGTTTATGTATACAGTATTTCATTTCTCTGCAGTAATATATCAGTCTGTTGCTGTTAAAATTTAATGAGATCGTTTTTGCTTTACGTGTTTTTCATTGTTTTTTTCTGAAATGAAACAATTTCTATCAGGTAAGTGATAAAACGGGTTTTTTTTATTTCTTCCTTCCAAAAAGTTGCAGCGAATCGGCAGAATTTGATTTACAAAAGCTTAAATACTCTTAAATTGCCAGTAAGTTTAATAACATTATAATAAATTGTTCTAATTTTTCTTAAATATGACGATTAAAATACAATTTATTCAATATAATGTTCTGTCCGCTCCGACTTTAAATGACCGAGTATGTAAAGTTGGACAGTTTAATTTTCATGGTTTTATAAATAAATATCCACCATAAAGTTATTATTATAGGAATAATTAATATTTATCATGTAAAAGTATGATTTAATTACAAAATATACTGGCAATCACATTTTGAAATAAATCCAATTATTATAGCGATGGTTAATACTACGTCTCAGATCCGCGCCATGGATTTGAGCGCGTAATGCCCTGCCATAGATGACGTTATTGTTGTTAAATTTTGACGTCACAATATTTGTTACAGTTGAATTGAGAGGTGGGTGTTGTTTGTCTCTTAGCTTAAAAATATTTGTTACAGTTGAATTGAGAGAGATGCAACCACGACAAAAGTCACACTCAACTGACGAAGGAGGGAGGCCAACGGCAACGAACGGTAAAAGGAAATTTGCAGGGAAGGCCAGACTTCCGGGCGTAAAGAAAAGATGTCGGAAAGTAAATAACTCAGGCCCAACTCCAAACTCGGATACAATCAAGGAGGCAATGCCAGATCTTGAGGAAGTTGTTTCTTCAGTAGCGGAAAAGATGCTACCTGAAATTAACAAGACGATAGAGACGATCATATCTCAACGGCTCGACACACCATCGTCATCGACTGAAGGTAGCAAAGTCTCTAGTACACCTATTACATCAACTGACAATGTACAAAATTCCGATTCAGATCAAGTCATTTGTTTTGACACAATTTCCCCTACATGTTCAATGCCTCAGAGCATAACCAGTGTAAATGATGATCTAGGTATGCATGTTGCACAGTCAGTTAAACAAAAAATTATGAAAGGGGAGTTTGTAGAATTGCATACACTTTTGAATAAGCAAACAGATATTGATGCACAGGAGAGTAGAGTTCTATTTACAAATGGTCAACTCACACTAAAACCTGCAAATACAATCAAAATTACAACAATTGACACTTGGCTGGATGCATTTTTTTATTTATATGAGTATATATTTGTCAGCACATATTGATCAAACTCACAGCCTTATCAAATACATGGCTAATGTCAAACTCGGTGCCAGTCGAGTTTCTGGTGGATTAGGTTGGAGAGAATACGACCGACAATTTCGACTGAAAAGAGCCAAAGATATCAGTATTTCCTGGGACAAAATCGACCCCGAGCTTTGGCTTATTTACATAACCCCAATTACTAACTCATTATATAAAAATTCTCAGGTCAGCTCAAAATTTTGTTATGAATACAACAACAAAGGCTCTTGTCGCATGCAAAATTGTCAATATCAACACCAGTGTTTAAAGTGTCAAAACAAACATCCTGCAATTCACTGTCCTGATAAACAAGCTGTACAAAGGACATCGTCCTCTAGGGCTTTTCAAGCCCCCTTCTCAACTTTTCGTCAGCCAGGCAGCAAATATTCAACAGGCCCCTTTCGTAAGAACAGGTTTAACACCAATTAACTTGAATAATATGTGTCCTTATCTGTCATTTTTTCCAAATCAAACTGTAGCTAATGAATTAAAGAACGGGTTTGAATTAGGCATTTATCTATATTATGAAGGTCCAAGAGTGTCAACAACCTGTAAAAATTTAGTTTCTGTGAACGATCACCCAAAAGAGGTAAAAGAAAAAATTGACAAAGAAATTTCTTTGGGTCGAATAGCAGGTCCTTTCAATCATGAACCTTTGTCCAATTTAAGGCTATCACCTATTGGAGTAGTGTCAAAAAAGGATGGGGGTTGGCGTCTCATTCACCACCTTTCATATCCTTCTAATTTCAGTGTTAATGATTTCATAGACCCTGAAGCTTGTTCTGTTCAATACACTTCTTTTGACGAGGTTTTAGACATGGTAGGGTCACTGGGAAAGGGGGCTTATCTGGGAAAAATGGATGTGAAAGCAGCTTTTAGATTACTTCCGGTTCACCCTTCTGACCATCAATTACTTGGTGTCAAGTTTAATGATCAATATTATTACGATATGTGTCTACCAATGGGTTGTTCAATTAGTTGTGCTTTATGGGAAAAGTTTGCACATTTTATTCAGTGGGTAGTAGAAGAAAAAACTGGAGTTCACACTCTGAACCATTACTTAGATGACTTCATATTTGCTGGGTACACATTAGAAACATGTAACCTGTTAATGTTATCATTCAAAAATACCTGCTCTGCTTTTGGCATCCCTCTTGCAGAAGAGAAAACAGAGGGCCCAAAATCGGTACTTCAATTCCTGGGTATAGAAATCGATACAGATAAGATGGTTGTTCGAATTCCTGAAGAAAAAATTATCGACCTGGAGAAATTACTGCTTGATATGTTACAAAAAACAAAAGTTACGCTTAGAGAATTACAATCTTTGGTAGGTTCTCTGATTTTTTGTGCTAAAGCTATTCCATCTGCTAGGGCCTTTAATAGAAGATTTTGTGATGCTATGTGTTGAATAAAATACCCAAGTCATTTCATTAGAGTAACAAAGGGAATGAAATTTGACCTTCTTGTGTGGTTAGATTTCATACACAGGTTTAATGGCAGTTTAAATTTCATGACTGTTAATTGGTTGTCTAATGACCAACTTCATCTCTACACTGATAGTACAGGCAATCAACATTTAGGTTGCGGCGTTTACCTTCATGGGCAATGGGCATATTTTGGTTGGCCAGATAGCTGGAAGAATCCAGACATTATGTTAGACATAACATTTTAGAGTTAGTGCCAATTGTCCTTGCAATTTTCTTATTTAAGAATGAATTTCTAGACAAAAAAATAATGTTGCATACTGACAACAAAGCTTTAGTTTCCATTTTAAACAAAAAATCATCAAAATCTCCTCGAGTTATGGAATTGGTTCGGCCATTGGGTTTACATTCCATGGTAAACAATTTTTACTTTAAAGCTTGTCATATAGATGGTTATGATAATGCTATCGCGGATTCTATTTCTCGCAAACAGTGGACCAGTTTTCGAGTTCTTGCCCCAACCTCCAATCAAGATCCGACACCTATTCCAGAAGATTTTGTAAAACTGATCTTGGAACTGAAATTAAACGCTTGACACTTAATTCGGTATCAGTAAATACAAGGCAAACATATTCCACAAGTCTAAAAAGCTTTGAGCAATTCAGAATTTTGTATGAACTTTGTACTGTTTGGCCCCCACCTGTTCCACACATTTGTATGTTTATTGCTCATTTATCCCTGCAAGGTTTAGCTCATTCTACTATTTCATCCTATATATCAGGAATAAGTTTCAAATGCAAAACATTGGGTTTCTGTGACAATACAAAAAACTTTCTAATTAGAAAATTATTGGAAGGAATCAAAAGGTCAAACCATTCCAAAGATTGTAGACTTCCTATTACAAAACATATTCTTGAGAAACATAACAGCAACAAATTTAGTTTGTTCATCGAATTTTGAGTCCATTCTTTTTTCAACGGCATTTTCGGTAGTCTATCATGCTTTTCTTAGAATCGGTGAATTTACCTTTAGTAGTTCAAATCAAGCAAATCAAATTATTTCTATTGAACATGTAAAATTTAGAAAAAATGAAACATCTGGGGAAAACTTCGTAGAGCTTAGAGTTCCTTTCTCAAAAACTGACCAACTTGGGAAAGGAACATCCGTTTGTTTGAATCAATCAAAGAATTCTATCTGTCCATTTGACTGGTTGAAAAGGTACATCACCATGAGGCCGAAATTTGACGGTCAATTATTTAAACATATGGATGGTAGTCCTCTAACAAGGTTTCAATTCTGTTCAGTATTAAATAAGTGTCTTGAAATAGCCGGTCTTCCAAACTCCAAGTACAAATCTCACTCATTCCGTATTGGTGCTGCGTCAGATAGTTTTTCTTCCGGTCAGTCAGAATCAGAAATTAAAAAGCAAGGTAGATGGAGTTCAGATGCCTTCAAACGGTATATTAGGATTTAGTATGTTCTTGATTGAATTTTCATATTTTTATATAGGAGATGAAAAGGTTATTTGGATTGTTGGTTCTTCAATTATTAAATGGGCATTCTACTATGCAAGAAAATCCTTTGATGGTGTGGATTTAGGTTTAAAACGAAGAAAATACAGAATTTTTTGGCAGGGAAAGGGAGGTATGAAATGGTTTGACCTTATTCCAAAAATAAAACTTTTGTTACGTTATGAATCACCTCCAAAAATTTTAATCATTCATTGTGGAGGGAATGACATAGGTAAAATTCCGTTGCTGCAACTACGGTCAAATATGTGTTCAACTCTCAAAAATCTTGAGGAGCTACTACCCAACACAACAATTGGTTGGTCAAATATTTTGCCAAGAATTTCATGGCGTTTTAGTTCAAACTCAAAATCTCAAAACCTTGCTACTGTTAGACTCAATAATTTTATGAATCACTTAGTTACTGTCAATGGTGGATTCTTTATCAAATACCCAGAGATTACTTGGGATTCAAATGAAATGTTTAGTAGTGATGGAGTTCACCTGTCGTACATCGGTAATTGTTTCTTGCTATATAACTTACAAATGGCTTTGCAAGAATATGTTTTTCTATAAAAGGTTACATACGTAGTTTAGGCTTCAAGATGTGGTCACACCTACATATATTTTTGCGTCTCTCATTCCACCTAACTTCGTTGGCGGTGGTTGTCATTTTCAACGGACAACCATTTGGCGATTTTTCGAGACGCCTTCCATGATACAATTATTTTTTCACAACTTCTGCTGAGTATCTGCTAACCCAGTACCAGCTTGAATGTTGTCAGTATTCAAATCTTCAGGACTTTATAAGGATAAGGATACAATGTTTATAAGGATAAGGATATAAAGTTTATAAGGATAAGGATATAAGGTTTATAAAGATAAGGATATAAGGTTTATAAGGATAAGGTTTATAAGGATAAGGATATAAGGTTTATAAGAAGTTATGTTATAACGATTAATAAAATATATATTGTATTATGTAGGTCGTGGCCACAATCGCCAAATCAAAATAAATGATTTTAAGAAGTTATATTTGTCTTCATCGTCTTTAATAATAAGATTTATTTCCTTTTTGAAATAAATCCAATTATTATAGCGATGGTTAATACTACGTCTCAGATCCGCGCCATGGATTTGAACGCGTAATGCCCTGCCATAGATGACGTTATTGTTGTTAAATTTTGACGTCACAATATTTGTTAGAGTTGAATTGAGAGGTGGGTGTTGTTTGTCTCTTAGCTTAAAAATCCCACCCTCCCATTCCCCTTATTTATAACATCAAGTATATCTATATAATAATATTTATATGCATTTGTCAATTTGATCTATTTTGCCATTGCATTTTTCTGCCGTAGTTTTCTGAATATTTTCAGGCAACCTTGAACTGTGTCATGTGAAATGTGAGAGACATTGGTTTGGACAGTTATACTTGTGTTAGAAATTCCATTCGTCACGACCTGCATATAAAGAGATGTGAAGGAGAGTCACTGCGGTTTTTCGAGAAGCCTTCCATGATACAATTATTTTTTCACAACTTCTGCTGAGTATCTGCTAACCCAGTACCAGCTTGAATGTTGTCAGTATTCAAATCTTCAGGACTTTATAAGGATAAGGATACAATGTTTATAAGGATAAGGATATAAAGTTTATAAGGATAAGGATATACGAGGGTTGTCCCGTAAAATCGTGGACAAAGCGTTTCTCTCGAAAAGTAATGGGCGCACTAAGCTAAAATTTTCAGTAAACGTTTATTCATCATATTTAAGTGCATCATTATGTTTTTGATAATATATAGACAAAAATAAAGATTTTATTATGTTTAAATATGCACAGGGTACGATCTTACGGCGCACGGTAAAAATAACAAGGTTATATAAGAGAATACACAAGAATTAATTCGTAATAAAAGTTTTCAATACATAAAAATGGGATCAAAAGTATCATAATTCGATTCCTTAATCAATTTTATTGTCTTTCTAAAAAATTCAAGGCATTTGGTTAATTTTTGGCAGTTTCCCGAGCATTCGAAATTGGAAAGTGGTAAACACAAGACACGAAAAACCGCGATTTTTGATGACGTTACGGCGCACCGGAGAGCAGTTCAGTTATATTTGGATGTTGTAATGCCACCTTAAGAGACTTTAAATGAATACAGAAGAAATAAAATATGACAAAAATCACCAGATCTTTAGAATATAAATAAAATGAAAGTTTTCTTAGCTAATTCTTTTTGATTGAGTTCTCAGGTAGTACAAGATATACGGACAAACTCCTATTGTAATAGCAAAAGACGCTGTCATTGTCGACCGTTGATATGAGATTCTCTGTTATTTGAATGCTGAAGAGAATACTGTCCAAAACTTGCTAATGAATTTTCAAAAGATTGCATGTGCGTGCCAGATGGGTTCCTTATCTGGTTATAAACACCCTCGAAGGTGAATCAGTGGAATTTTAAAATTTAAGTGGGACTTATCCAACTTTATTTTAGCAAAGATGAAATTTGACGCTGTTTTAGACACTTTGACGTTATCATCCGTGCGCCGTAGGGCGATACAATACATAACATAACATCTAATAATTTGTTTATTTATGCATATATCTATTTGAAATTTGCTCTGTATATTCATAATATATGTACTAAAGAGTAGTGAAAATTTAAGAACGCAGTGATGATTATTTTTCAAACTAGACAACTTGTCCACGATTTTACGGGACAACCCTCGTAAGGTTTATAAGGATAAGGATATAAGGTTTATAAGGATAAGGTTTATAAGGATAAGGATATAAGGTTTATAAGAAGTTATGTTATAACGATTAATAAAATATATATTGTATTATGTTGGTCGTGGCCACAATCGCCAAATCAAAATAAATGATTTTAAGAAGTTATATTTGTCTTCATCGTCTTTAATAATTAATATTTATCATGTAAAAGTATGATTTAATTACAAAATATACTGGCAATCACAGAGTATCGACGGCAAACTGAAGATTTCGCCAAGGATAACTAGGTCACTGTCGACAGGTGCATGCTCGGTGCGCATGCGAATTTTATCCGGATCCATGAGATGCGTATGTATCCTGCAAATTTCAGACATTTTTTTAAACATTTTCACGACTATTTAAATGTACAAAACAACCAAAATCATCCTGTAGACGGAGATACTGAAAGAAAAATACACATGACACTTAATTTAGAAACGATTTTATTCTGAAAGAGAAAACTGTCCGACATTCGATGTTGTCCGACTTTAGCTTTTCCTCATTGTGGTACAGTATTTAGTGTTTGACAATTTAATGTCAACACCGCAATAATATACCCAAGTCAAGATCAATAAGTAATGTATACCGACTGTCTATCATAAAAAAAGATAGCTATAATATTGATAAGCTACATTCGTTGACAGATGTATAGAAAATGTACATCGAAATTCCGTACATGCAAAATGTACTGCATTCGTAACAGTGAAGAAAATGTTTTTTCTTGTTTATTGACTTCTATTTCTAAATTTCTGATACATTATCAGGAAAATACCCCAACCCCCTCATTAACACTATATGTACAGTCATATTATTTACCGGCATTAATAGGTACACAGCTTTGCGTAAGTTCATAGATTGTCAGCATTATTATACTTACCTGTACTTAATTGATTAATTGAAAGGTTTAAATTTGAATTCAAAATGAAAACTCTTCCATGACAACTATGGATAATACAGATAGAGATTAAATCTTTTAAGCGCCAATTGAATCTGTAAAATATATTAATGCAATTACAACAGTTCAATTACCAGAAGTGTATGAAAATCTTGCTGTGCGAGTGAATGTACATTAATTCGTAATTGTTTCTCTTTGACTCTTTAAAATGTTAAAATGAATATGTGTAAGGTAAATTTTCTTTGCAAAAGAAGTTTTTGGTGCATTGAACTATAACTTTTAGGCCTCGCACGATATACACATTGTGCAGACCTGCGTCAGTCATGCAGTAACACCCCCTCCCTCCAGTTTATTGACAATGTATAATACCGGTAGTCATTTTGTTCTGTTTGATGTGATTATAGTAAAGATGATATACAACTTACATGTAAATATACAAGCGATACTTTACACGGTCTGTCATTTCATTTATTTGTTACTCTTTTAAATTTTATTTTAATTTTATGTCAAGGTCACATGAATACTTGGCTTTAACATGTTAAAAACGTGATTCTCTGCAAGCATGGGATTTGGTGCTCGTGTACTTCCTACCTGAAATGTCAGATTTTATATCAAGTTACCGCTTGGCTTGTTTAAAAATATTTTATTGTTTAGATGTTACAAGAAAGAATCGGAAACAAGTTCTGAAAACTAAGAACGTCCTCCCCTTTACAATAAAAAAATCAATTACAAAAACTTTTGTTCAAAATTAATTTTCACTGGATTTACCTCGTAATATTACTCATTTATTTTCGAGAACTGTCTTATCAAATAAATGGATGAATACATATTTTCACTTGCCAATAATCAGATCATACTAATTTTTCTTAAAGTGGAATTCATTTTTTTTTCATTCACTTTGTAAATTTGCCGTAAATCTCAGATGGTTGTACAATACACGTAGGACTGCAACTACTATGCGTTTTTTTTTCAAATTTTTATGCTTTTCGTATATTGCATGTGATTTTTATTTCTATTACTACTAGGCCCTTAACTGTCCATTTACTGATATTACATACAAGTTCAAGAACAAATACTAGTATCTGTGACAAAAAATGATATGCCGTTAATTATCGCCCGTGAAGAATCTTTACCAAACCATCACTGAAAATAAAGTATTTTGATTCTCGTTCCCGATGTCCGAAATTTACAGTGACATCCGATTGTTTACAACAGTGAATCATGCGACCTTTCCTGAATTGCATTGAGAGAAAATAAATTCTAAATTCAGACAAATTTTTAAGTACATCGTGCATACATGTTTAAGGTTGTTGAAGAGAAATTTGTACCTTCAATAAATTAATTCCAAACACTTAATACTGTATACTTGATATACCATGAAAGGCAATTGTTATAAAAGAACATAGAAGCCTCGTGTCCTTTTTTACTTCTCATTTCGTTTTTTTTTTTCATTTATGGTAACATATTTAATCTTTTAATTAGTTTTTTCTTTCTGATTAGTTCGATTTATTTCTTTAGTTTGAAGGGGGTCTTGGGATAATGAATTATAATGTCTATCGCTTACAGAAACGTCTAATTAACTACGAACACTGTTGTTTTAGATATTTGTTTATAACAGATCTGATTATACATTTTGTATCAAAAATAAAATGATTAAATAAATAAATAAATATAGTTTTGAAACCCAGTTGGATTATATAGAAAATAATTATAAATGCATCGCTAATTTAATCTAATAAAAATTTAATTTTCTGTGTTTTTAATTAGATTTCTTTAAAGTGTGTGAGAAAGAATGAAAAAGAGGGGCCGGGTTGATCTGAGGGTGTCCTCTGAGTCTACATGTTGGGTCAACATTGCGTAACTGACTGTAGTGATATCCGGCGGGTGCCCGTCTGTATATATATTGAAGTGACACCTATTGTCTTGTTTCCCGCTACTGTATTGCGCAATTCACAGAGCTTCCATTTGTGTAGTACTTCAAAGAGGTTCCGTTCCCGGTCAGCTCCAGTGTAGAACTTCAAAGCGCTGCCGTTTGTGTACAATATTCATATTAATATTCATGAATACGGTGCTGTGTTTGAATAAAAGTCTTCTTTTATAATTAAAAAATACATTGCATGTACACAATTATTTATTAAATAATTGTTTCCGATTAATTCTTTTTAATAAATAAAATAAAAAAAGAGTTCACAGTATGGCTTATCAAGAGTTTTTTTTTGATATATAAATCTGATGGTAATTGTTATTTTTCAAAATGAAAGAAAGATAAAAGTCACATTTTGAGTTGAACATAAGTGAGTAATTCATTTCCCTGTAAACGGGTATCAATATTTATAAAAGGAAGGGAGTCTACTTAATCATTCGTGACAATTATTATTGCTGTACACTAACCGATCGGCAGTAGGACTTTATCACAGGGAATAAATACTGAATCGTAATTAAAACCAGTAAAAATAAATAAAAGATAGATTTTTTTAAACGGAGTTCAAGTTTATTTTCATCTAATGCATTTGATGTCTTTAAGAAAACATATGACAACGATAAATCCCTGGTACATGTGAATTAAGCGATGAACATAATTATGATTTAAGTGAACTTGCTATCAGTCTGATTGACAGACAACTGCCCCCCCCCCCCCCAAAA